ATATATATATATATATATATATATATATATATATTAAAATGTTACTAATTTAAAATCGAATATTATACAGAAAAAAAATTTAATCGAGAATACACGAAGTATAGACAAGAATTTTAAGATTCATTTTTCATCAAAATATTTCCTGTATTCTTGATCGAATCTTTCCATTTTCGTAAAATAATTCTACCTCTAGAACATAGTGTAGGAGAAGAAGATTAACTGCAACGTTCTTTTTCTTGCTGCAGACGGTCTTCTAGCGCTACCACTTATAACCCAAACAACTTCAATTCTAACGGTCAGAGGACCGTTCAACCGACAACGACACCACGTGGAGTTACCTATGTCAGCGGATCCGCGAGACCGTTCACGTCGACGACTAGATTACCTAGCAGCAGTAATAGCAATAGCGCCAGCAGTACGACAGCACGATCAAAATCGGGCAAAAAGAACGATTACGATTATGCGTATTACGATAGCACGGGTGGCCTGGAATATGACGGAGTCGATCTCGAGCATGTCACAAGCAACAAAGAATCTACGAAAATCGCGAGAAATTAAAACATCGTCTCGTTATATACCGCATATCGAATTTCTTGAACCTCGATACCAGTGATGTAAAATTGAAGAGTGTATACCCTGCATAGCAAAGCGAAAACAGATTTTAAGCACGGTCTGCTATCAATTTTTTATTACAGAAAGGTAACAAATTGAGATTTACCCAGAATTTGTATTATCTGACATTGTCAGCAAATTACTGTCAGAAATGTTGCTAGACATGCTTTGTCAGCAGATTGATAATAGAAACTAACAACTCTGATCGAGTTTGCTGCCAATTTGCTGCCTATCGAGTATGCTGCCTAAATTGCTAACATTTTGCTATCAGAGTAAATATCTCCCTACCTCTGTAATTTCAGGTACAGGTATATTTTTTAAATACCTGTACACTTATATCTGAATATATTTTTTGCAATGAAACAAATGTATTCGTAGAAGGGCTTCATTATTTTTGAGTACTTACTCTAAATTAAAAAAAATACATTTGATAATATTTCAAATCAGCTCTTCAATGATACAATATAACCAAACAGAATTATACTAGGCTAAAGCTATTAATTAGCTGAAATTAAATGTACTTTTAAAGTATCTGTAGTTAGATACCGAAAATAAAAGTACCTTTTACATCACTGATCGATAGGAGGAATTTCTTGTTTGTATTATTGTTTATTAGTGGCCAGTCATCATCAAAATCGGTCTTCGATTAAGCGTACTCGCGCAAAGAGACGCGAAGAAGAAAGCGATATAAGTATTGAATACCGATTTTGAGAGATAAAAAAAGAATCATCGATCGATATTGTTCACTTAAATGCATGTATGTTCAATCGAGATTTGACGGCTCGTCGGCCGTTATTAACAATATAATTTGTAGTTCAGTATTCTAGGTTAATTGTTTATGTATATTTTACGATGTTTAATCCGCGCAGCATTGAGTGTCGATGTATCGATATTACAAACATTAAGAAATTCTAGCGCAAAAGATTGTTTTGCCGACATTAATATTACCCTTTTTATTTTGTTGCGTAAAAAAAACCGTTGAAATGACCGATTATTAATAACGCTTATTGTGTATTGATACAGTGCGAAGTTTGATTGTCGAAACGTTAGATTTCTCACATATTTTATGCATGCATATCGACAAAAGTCTGCATAAAATGTGTTCAGAATAAAGATTGTTTAATTACTTGCGCCTCCCCTGAAGTATACGTACTGAGTGTATATACACTATAACTATTTTAATTAAGAAAAGCATTAAATAGCATGATTTATTATTTTATCCTATCCTAACGATAGTCTTACGTTTTATCTCTTATCTCACACACGCGTACAAAATTAAACTCTTCATATACGAACACAATTCGTTTATGAATATAAAGCATTAATTTCAATGCCGAAGGTATCTATTAGTACAGTTTTCAGTAATGTGGTGCATATAATGTTTTCGGACAAATTTTGTGTGTAATTCAGGAAAACAAATGAACATACGTATGAATACAAAAACGTATCCCAATGAATACCAGTTAATAACGAAACATTAATGTTATAGTTTCACACTCAAAATGTAACTGATATATATATATATATATATATATATATATAAATATAATGTGTTACAGTACATACATTATTCATATTATTGAGTGTGAAACAAAAATGTTGATATTATATTTCTAAAAATTGTCCCCTACATTAATATTTACATTTATATAAAGATTCATATTCTTCTCTTTAATTCTAAAAGCAATTTTTGTAAACACTTTGCTAACGAGATTTCTCTATTGTCTTTAGTATGGAATATTCCGTGGTACAAACTGATATTTGTTGCGGATTCACTGGTGACGAACAAATAAGTGAAGAATCTAATTGGTTCTTACAATATTACGTATAATTTAATAGGTTTTCCGAAGCAGAATGCACAATATGTAATACTAACAATAAGATTATATGTGATAATCTCAGAGAAAACTTAAAATTTTATTTGTCTAAACATAATATTGATGATAAAGGCGAATATTCAGTACTTGTTTGAATACAAGAGAATAGTAATTGTATTCACTTATTGCTCGTATTATACTATGTTATTGTAAATGATCTTTCGAAAAAAAATAGATCTTTTCTAAACAAATATTTGTTATTTATATTATAATTTTTATTTGTATTTACAAATTTTAAAATTATTCTATGTTTTTATAAGATTAAATTAAAATCGAATTTTTTGCTATATGTACTTTTAACAATGTCACATTTGATCTTCTAACATCTAGTCGAGAGATATTAATTGAACACACTCACGAAGCGGGTAAATAGATTATAAAAATATAAAATTAAAATATATTTACGTATAATTTGCCCATTTTAATTTAAAAAAATAATTTCGATCTAATTTTTAATCTTATATATGCATATTACAATTTTAATACTTATTTCTTTACCGCATTTTTTTAAAATTACCTATATATCGTAAATAAATTTAGTGAACCAAGCTCAAAACATATATCAACTGATATCAATGGATTCAATTTCACAGTCAAGTATCATCGAACGACTCGACTATGTCCAGACAACATACGCAGGAATTACCATCATTTGAGGAAGTACAAAAATGTACTTCAATACAAAAATGGAAGCAAAAGAAAAGCTGACGATAATGATAAATAATTATTCGCTTTGCTTGTGCTACTCTATATCAAAGTATCTTAATAAAAAAAACATTAATTTTTCTTCATGAATATTTGTAATATTATTTACTTATAATATAATTTTTTTTTTCACATTTTTAAAAAGTTAATTCGATATTTCCATACTATTAAATTGAAACCGAATATTTGTTACATTTTGCATGGTGTCATGTGTCATCTTCTTATTTAGTTAAACTTACAATAGTTACGAGATATTAAATTTCACACAAGATGTGTAAATAGATTATAAATATGAATATACATAAATTTAAATACACTCACACACGCGTTAAATGCACGCATGCACGCTCATATATAGAATTTATCTATTTTAATTTAAAAAATAATGTTGCTGTCAGCGTCGTTGGTACGCAGTAATGAGTCTTTCTGGCGTGATTTTTGATTATTTTCCAACTTTCATTTTTATGGAATTGATTAACATTCCAATGAGAAATTTTTCATTTGTAAGCTTCAATAATACTAGCTAAAGTTGAAAGTGACTCACTGTGTCTGATACTGACTGGCTAAATATCTAGGACTACTAAAATATCGAGAACCGGTTTTTGAATAATTTATAATAATGTTTGCGATACAGTTTGTGATTTGTGATCAGGATGAGCGTCCTTATTTTCGAGATGATTAATTATAATCTGAAGGTTTTTGATAAATTAGTTTTTCATATTTTCCATTTCGATATTTCCATATTATTTCCTTTTTTTATTCATTTTTCTTTTCTATTTTTTCGTTTTATTTCACTCTTTTTGGCGTTTAAATTCTCAAGGTAGGGGTGCTCATCAGGATAATTTTTATTCACAGTTTATGTATGTTAATTTTTGTTGTCTCTGAGGAAGGCTCAAAAGTAAGCCGAAACATGTAAACGCGTTGTAACATTTAAAAACTGGATTCACCCGACACAAAACATAGAATACAAGACATGTCACAAGACATAGAAGGAATTCATTTCGACATTGGATCAAAAACAATTAAAATTTATTATCACTAAAGAGTATCAAGTTAAAAACGCAAGTTGTTCGCAGCTCGAACGAAACATAATACATTTATATAATAAGTAAGATATACGTATCGGGTCAACAAGGAAAATAAAAAGAAGAAAGAACAAAGTCAATACATAACAATAATTTATATAAATCGACCAAAATATAACTATTTAATGTCTTTTAACAATTGTATACAAGTTTGATGTACACCTTCTGTATCTGACCGTAAATTTAGACTATTTTGTTGCATGAGTATATAAAAGCACTCAGATATTAAACTTTTATTAAGAAAACGCTCTTCATCTAATATCGCGACATTCTCCCAATCGAAGTCATATTTAATCCGATGTTCTATGATTATCGATTGGTTGTTATTATTTCGGTTAATATGATTATGTTGCTCAGCCAATCTAGTTTTAAGTTTTCTTACTGTCTGTCCAACATAAGAGGTACATCGCAGGATTTACATGAGATTTTATACACAACATTTTTTTCTCTTTTCTCTTGGGAGAATATCTTTATGTCCCTTGATCAAACTATTTAATTTGTTTAAGCTGTAAAAGCTTAATTTAGTACTAAAGGTTTTACTAATTCTTTCGAATTCGTCTGAAATTTTTGAAATATAAGATCACAAATTGAAAAGTACAATCGCTCTTGATTTCATCACTTGATTCTTTCTGTAGTATCGTACTTTTATAAATAAAAATTTTCAAACGTGTTAATAGTATTAAAAATTAGATCAATTGGATAATAATTTTGTAGTAATGTACTAAATATTATGTGTACTAAATACTATGTGCTTTTTAATAATGTACTATGTTGAATTTGAACATAACTTCGATTGGGAGAATGTCGTGCTGTATATAACACGATTATATGAATCAAATATCGATTTATTATCTCCAGCCTTGAAAAGTGGATGATGTACCGTAAGAAAAATGGACGTTGTTATGTAGTTTGCATCCACTTTGTCAGAGGGCAGTAGTGCGCGGCAGCATTTTGCGGTTACAGGTTTTGGGCCGTCATGTTCTCTCTCAGGTTTCTCTCTAATAAAACTGATGCAAAAAACTTGCACTGAGCTCAACACAAGCTTGCACTTTTGCTCCACTGTTTTCGAAGTCAGTGGAGACCAGTGCAAGTTGAAATTGAGATTGTGCTAAATCTGTAACATAATATCTGTATGATATTATATTATGATATGATATTACATTGTTATATAATTAATGTTATAACAATGACATTGTTTAGTTTCAATGTTTCTAATAATAGCTATGCAATGACATTTTGACGTTTAAAACTCTTGAAGGGTAAAAATTTAATTTAAAAACATTTTAAATATTTTAAATTAATAAATAAATCAGAATATTGTAAAATAAGTAATTTAAGTTTGAATATAGTTATACATATTTTTAGGGCTGTTATAAAATGGATGGATCTAATATGTTCCATTGAACCGCACATTAAACTTGCACTATTACTGCACTAGTGCAAGTCTAAATCTAGCACGGCGCTAGTGCTGCACCAATTTTCCCAGTGGAAAATGAATTGCACATCCCATGTTACCTTCTACTATGATCCATAATCTATTGCCGACATGGACCTCAGACATTTAGTGGTCTGCTATTTCTCACCCACATAGCCGTTAATTATCGAAGTTGTTCGTTCGTGTTCATTTTAGGACTCTTTAGGTAGAATAGCTCGAGAATTGTAGGTATTTTAATTCTTCGACTTCCATCTTTCACGCGTAATTTTTTTTATTTCTTTTTTCATCATGAATTACATAATAATATGAATGAAAGTGCGAGATGTAAAGTAAGGAAAGAACAAAACGTTAGGAGCTATACTTAACAAGTCTGAAAGAAGGAAAGATCACTGAAAACTTCTACTAATTCTAACAGAATTTGCAAAGAAAGCCTCTTCATACTTCGTAGATGTATTCTTTTCATAAATACCTTGATGTTCTGTTTAATATTAGAAATTTTAGACCGTTGCATAATCTTTCTTAGCTTTAAGGTTATTTCGCAGAAATTCGTTTAATTGGCAACAAAAAATATTTTGGTTAATTTATCTTGTGTCATTACGTTACACTTTATGGTTTTTCTTTTTTCTATATATCTTGAAGATATCTGTATCTCTTCTTTTTCATTTCAAGAAAGAATTATGGGTAACGCTCTTACCGCAGCCTCTGTATCAGCGGCTGACGTGATAGCACCATTATCTCCACAAATCACAAAACCAGATTCTCATGGGATGAAGGAGAAACAGATGAAACCACCACTGGAATGTCCCATGCACAAATCGGGTCAATTTAATACTATAAACTACACTAGTGAATGCCCAATAGATAAAATGGACGAAAGTGAAATAAATCCATTAAATATGGTATGTATTACAAAATTTTGTTAGCAGTCAATGAATGAAATGTTGTTTAACTAATCACATATTGTCTCTTTTGATGAGTCAGTCACTTGCACTATTAATTTGAATTATTAATACATATTAAAAGCTGCTTTATATAAAGTATCTAATACAATAGCAACAACTATAAAACTACAATAAGTAA